TTAGAATCCCTGGACGATTTCTCATGGTTTCCCCATAGATTTCGTCCACTCCAACTTCTATGGAGTCCATTAGCCCAATATTCAACTATAACACAATTGATAGTTCTTGTCCCCTTTATTTAATTAATATCTTTTAGCCATAGAATTAATTTCTTAATTAATTCTTGTCTAATATTAATTAAACTATATGATTTCTCTTTTAATATATTATTCATATAATATAATAATAAACCATAATTAACCTCTTTTTTCATAAATCATCCTATCAAGTTGCTTTAGTGAGGGCAACCCAAAAGGACCATACACAACCAGGTCAGGTACATGCCAAATATAGTTACGAGCTTACACACTAATCCAACAAAATGTATGTTTTCTTACTAGTAGTTTTGATTATAGTGGGATAGAAGCTTTGTTTTATAAAGTATGTTGATATTAGTAGTGAAAAACCATAAATTCTTTTAGGTTTCATGTACCCATAAGTGTTATGCGTAATTATGCAAGTACATTGCAATTATAACATAGAACTCTCAATAATCTTATCAACATATTCTATTCAAAATCGTAAACATCCATTATATTCTTCATTAAGATCTTTTGGATGTTTGTGTCGTGCTAACACTTTGAAGAACACCAGAGAAAAATGTCAATAAAGATATGTCCCCTGCATCTGTTTTAGATATCAATTTGGCAAGAAAGCTATAAAATCTAAAATATTGAAACAAAAAGCATTATGATCTAAAGGGATGTCATTTTTCATGAGACTATTTGTAAGAACCCATTATTTTGAATCTATGTAATAGTATAGATGAATTAGTAAAGAGAAATTTTTGTATAGTATGTGTATTTACATAATTGACCCTAAAAAAAGAAATGTTAAATAAAATTAATTGGTATGAATATAGTGGTAGAAATCATGTCAAGGATTCCAAATATATAAAGAACGCCCAAATCCAATTTATAACGAAGAAGTAAATACCTATCGAAAATCCGCGACAAAACCGACAAAACATTGTTTAACGTAAAAAGTGAATTTTCAATGAAATACTTTTTAGCCTTAACTATCTAAATGAAAGTTATAGCATACGTTAAACAGAGAGTATCCATAAAAAGAACGTCTAAATCTGACTTCATGTGAAGAAGTAATGATTTTTCTAAGTTTCGACATAGCAGTACACAACTTGAAAACTTGTAATTTAGTTAAATCAACATTTGACCAAAACAACCTAAATGAGAATCGGAGATCTTATCAAAAGAAATCCAACGGTAAAAAGACAGACCAAAACGAACATCGAATGAAGAAGTTACAAATTTTTAACAGACTTTTACTATCCCAACCTGTTAAAAATATAACTTTAAAAATAAAAATAAAAATTAGCCTACGGAGTTTAAACGAAAGTTGTAGAGAATGGTCTCACCTACGCGTGGATATAAAGAAAGTCAAAAACAGAATTTGTATGTAAAATATATGAATTTTTGAAGTTTGAAAAAGAGAAGTATGCCTTGCGTACAAGATTACACCAAGCGTACTCGGATGCAACGCCTCAGATTGTCCATGTAGCCTCTTTCTTCGCAAAGTGACATGTATCTCGCACCAACAACACATCTGATGCTATGTGGCCATTACGCCTAGTGTAAGAAAAGATTACGCCCAACGTAATGAGACTAGTTTTGATGCGTATCTCGTAGACTTGCCACCTCTGAAGTTCGGATAAGGACCCAACTAGTACGCCCCGCGTACAAAAAGTACGCCCAGCATACTAAGGATTTTAGTAGTACTCCCAGCGTACATGAATTTTATGCCCAACATACAGAGGCCAGAACCCTCCTATAAATAGGATGCAAGACCTCTGAGTTTGAAAGCCCGAGGCCCCGAAGTCCCCGAGAAAATAATATTTTCAAGACGAAACTCTGCCCACGTAAAAGCCAAATTTTCATCAAAAACTCTCAATTACATCAAGAAAACTCCTTTCTGAGAAACGAAATGCTGCCCAAATCACCATCTATCATGTGATTTCATACCCCCATATTTTCATAGATTTTACTGTTTTAAGGGAGGATGGGGGATACAAGTCTAATACAAGGATTTTGTGTTACAAACAAATGGTTTCAAATTGTGATAAATTGACATCAAGTCATCAAAAGCATTGCAAAATGTTAAACTCTTTTATAAACTTATATATATATATATATATATATATATATATATATATATATATATAAGATTTAATAGACTTAGGACTGATAACTCACTTTATTTCCTTTTCCTTGTGTGGATGTGGATTTAGGGTATCAATTATTTATCCGACTGTCATTTCAATTTTAGTTATATATCTATATATATATATATATATATATATATATATATATATATATATATATATATATATATATATATATGTTATTTCATTCAGTTTCAAATACCCTTTGTAACATGTCGAGAAAGGGGTTGTATTCATGAACAGTTAGTATCAATACAGAAAGTACATATAAATTATAATATGTATAATGTATGGTTCAAGAACACTAACTCACGAGTCAAGTATACTAGATTACACTATTTTACAAGAACATTGGTTTATACTATTGTACAAGAAAAGGAGTTTGGTACAAAACTAAACAAGGGTATACAACTTTCAAGTACATTTAGAGTATACTAAACAAGGAAAATACTATCAATCATTTATTTCAGAATGATTGGGTTTTTATTACACACATAATGTTTATATGGTTTTTATGAGACAATATGTTCAGGTTATTTATTCATTTAAACAACATAGTTAATGTCTTGATATTATAACCAGATCTCCAACTGGTGATCGAAACAAGTGTGTATAGATCTATATTGGGATTGATAACCCCACACTCGGGCTACTAGCTACAGTCGGGCGTACAAGCCTATGAGTGACAATTGTTATCAAGAGTTTAAAAGCCTTCAATGCATTTGTTTCAGGCCATCTAGTTATAGTATGGTTTTAATAGCTCAATAAAAAGATACTAACAATATGTTAGTGGATAATTAACTAAACATGAGTACATTTTCAAAGTACTAGTTTACAGAGATACATATTATAGTATTACATTACAGTTTACAATAACAGTTGGTGGAGCCAGGCACATTCACTTTTACAGGTTTCACAAAAGGATACAAATACAGAACAATGGTTTACAATCAGATGAGATAGTGTTCATAGATGACATTCTGATCTACTAAGGAATCCAGGAGGAGCATGGCAAGCATCTACGAGAAGTGTTAGAAGTCCTGAAGAAGGAGAAGTTGTATGCAAAGTTCTCCAAATGTGATTTTTGGATCCGAGAAGTCCAATTCTTAGATCATATGGTTAACCAAGAGGGAATAATGGTTGACCCAGCAAAGATCGAATTTGTGATGAAGTAGGAACGACCAAAAAGTTCCATGGAGATTCGAAGCTTTCTGGGATTTGTTGGATACTACCGACGGTTTATCCAAGGCTTTTACTTGATAGCTGCTCCATTAACATCTTTGAACCACAAATGAGCTACTGATACATGGAGTGAGAAGCACGAAGGAGCATTCGAAAAGCTGAAGAAGAAGTTGTGTGAATCACCGATTCTTTCTTTACCCGATAGAGTTGAAGACTTCACATTGTATAGTGATGAGTCGGAATTCGGGTTAGGATCTGTTCTAACTCTAAGAGAAAAGGTGATACCATACACATCTAGATAATTGAAAGAGCACAAAAAGAAGTAACCCACTCATGATCTAGAGTAGGCAGCGGTAGCATTTTCCCTAAAGATATGGAGGCATTACCTCTATGACACGTAGTGTAAACTTTTCACTGATCATAATAGTCTCCAATATCTCTTTAATCAGAAGGAATTGAACATGGGACAATGATGTTGGCTAGAGTTACTCAAGGAATATGACTGTGAGATACTTTACCACCCCGGTAAAGCAAATGTTGTAGCTGATACTCTAAGTCAAAAAGTCAACCTTGATAGAAAAAGGCCAAGAGTGTTGAGAATAGAAGTTGTCTCGAGTATTATGGAAAGTATCAAGAAAGCTCAGGAAGAAGCTTCTGAGAAAAATGACCGAAAGGAACAACATTTAGGAAAAACCTTAGTGGTCGGTACAAACAGTCAAGGATTAAAGGTGTTCCATGATAGGATTTGGGTACCTAAGACAGGAGGAGTAAGAGATCTTCTGATGGAAGAATCCCACAAGATCATGTACTCGATTCATCCTGGTAGCACTAAAATGTATAGGGATCTAAAACCCCACTACTGGTGGCCGACGATGAAGCTCAATGTTGCAAAGTATGCGGCCGAGTGTGTAACTCACTACTAGAAAAAAGGCCTTTTACGACGCTCATTGCGCGTCGTAAAACGCTCAGACGACGCGCAAATGCGTGTCAAGGAAGGCCCTATCATAAAGAGAGACTACGCGCTTTTATGGCGTGCATTTACGACGCGCGGTTATGACACGCAATGCGTATCAAGGAAGGCCCTGTCATAAAGGAAGACGACACGCATTTGCGTGTCGTAACCTTATGACGTGCGTGTTTATGACACGCAATGCGTATCAAGGAAGCCCCTGTCAAGAAAGGCCATGTCATAAATGAAGATGACACACATTTTTGCGTATCATAATTTTAAATGTTTAAAAAGATATTATTTATAGATTTGCTTATTTTCAAATTAAATTTGTATTTAATGTTTAATAATAGATAATAAAATATCATATACAAAAATAGAATCCATTGCATAAATTTAATGTCATACAAATAATCATTCCATATGTAAACAAAGATATACCAAAAACATCATGTCAAAAAATTGTAATACATTTATATTAAGGGGATCTAATTGTACATTGTTATTAAGAGGTTTTCCCTAAATATATAACATAATACTAAATTGCTATTAAGGGACACCATATGCAATGTAATGCTATACAAACTAAAAAGATATACACAAAGATGATAAACATCAAATTCCAACTAAGTAGAGTTGAATCTTGCCTTTCATACTTCTTTAAGACTAATATTGAACCCTTGCTCCGATAATTCTTGTGACCTGATCAAATAAAAGTCAAAAACTTAATATGTTAATACAATTATTAGAAGAATCAAACTTGGAATGTTAGTTGTAAAAGACGAAATTACCCTTTTCTCCATCCAAAGAATTTGGGATTTGGAATAAATACACTACAATATGAATTACCTAATATCAACAATGACAAACACAATGACAAGAATACCCGCATACAAATGGTAAATATTATCTGTAAAGCTATCAAAAATGATATTCACAATGACAATCTTTGATCATATAAACTAGAGAGTATATCATCACAATACCATCTAACACCACCCATTAGAACACGTAAAGCTACTCAACCAACATATCATGTCATGTAATGTATTTTTTGTCAGTATATCTTCACATAGAAAACAAAAGTGAAATAAATAAAAATAACAACCTTCTCATTTACTGAAAATGGATATTGTTCACATATATGGGAGCCATTTTCAGAATTACCATCCCCATTTACATGAAATCATTCATGCCATTTTAACTCAAATAATTTATTTATAGTAAAAAAATAAATATTTTATAATTATATTGTTTTGATTATATAATATATACCCATCTGTCACTGACTCCTCATTCGTCATAAGAATGAACAAATATTTTAATTAATTACCTTGAAATGATAATAATATAAATACTATAACACCATGGCATGGTATATTTGAATAATACCTAGTGTAGCATCCAAGATAAGACGTTGACTTGTTGCTTGAGCAGATTTTGTAGTGTATGCTTTAAGGGCATCATCCCACCGTTGCAGCTTTTCATACCTTGTATTTGGAAGCAACATAAACAATTAATATTTTGAGAAAATAAGACAATGTAAATGATTTTAGGGTCCTGGAAATATACCATGATTCCTTCAGTTGTAAATCCAAACAGTATCCCATATATAGTTATATACTTAAGAGAGTGAAAAAAGGAAAGTGAGCTAGTTTCTATATATGCTTACCCTCCAAAAAGATAGAAGTGAAAGTATCCAAAAGAAAGCACTTATCCACCTTGATTCCTTATATGCAATCCACACCTGATCAAAAGAAGCAATCAAACATTATTGTTATAACAAAAGTCGAAAAATCTCCTTTTCACTATAGTTGGAAAGTATATAATAAACAAAGACTTACTGCTACAATGACAATACAAAAATAGAAATCGGTTGTTGTTGCTATCATGCACCTGTGAGCATTTACAACTATGTATGAGCATTTACTATTACACTTTTTTACATAAATTAAATAAAAGGGAAATTTTAAATGGTACCTTGATAATACATTGGCATTGAATGTAGATCCATCAACGATAAGCACATAAATAAAAGTTCCCAGCATCAAGTAGCCTAGTGCAGAAATGATTATTTTTGCAATTAAAACAAAATGTCCCCTTTTGTATCCCATGGCATCCCTATATAAGCCAAATATATAATAAAATTACAAGCATTTTAGCAAACATTTTTACTTGATTTTAGTTTTTGTTATCGTTATTGGACATGTCCCTCAAAAGATATAATGGATCCTTTGATGATTCTTCTGGTGACAACTTAAAGAACTGCAGAGCCACGTATCATTTGTAATAGGGCTGTAGAAGGAATGAAAATTTACTTAAAACATGTTACACTTGTAATTAATAGTAATAATAATAATAATAAAGTTTAATTACCTTCCTGCAAAAAGTACAACATGTATCAATACAGCTGCCTTGATCTAGCATGATTCCTTGTAGACTATCCAAGCCTAAGATTGCAAGTATATACACAACCACATATAACTCCATTTGATTCAACAAGCTTGTAACACCATGGTCAAGATCAGTTCCAAAATCCCCAGTAAACACGCCACCTGAATAGAACTGGAAACCCATGCCACTGGCATCAATGGCAACTGATACGGGTTGATTAGCAACTGCCTGTAACAATGCGGATTCACTGTTGGCTGGCACGTTTTCATACCCAGTAATGGTGGCAGCATAGACAGCTTCTTCCTTGGTGTTGCAGGTTCCATCTGTTGCCTGATATGGGTAAGCCACCTCAATGTTGATGCCTTTGTTTTTAACGATAAAGTCAAAGCCATCTTCCATCTTACTGTTACCGTTTTCCATAGAGCGACCATTTAAAGGAGGGGAAGAAGCAAACCCAGTGTAATCACCTGAATTCAAATAATAAAAAAATGAGATAAAAATGATTATTTTTATTTTTAAGGTAGCAGCAGAAAATTAGTTTACCGTTTGTTTGTGCTCGAGAAGATGCGTTTTTTAATTTTTCAGCAGATGATTTGCCAGGCCATTGTTTAAGAGGGCGAATAACCAGGGCTCTTGGATTCTCCCTTGGAATAAAAAGAGCATCTGCTTTTGGTGTGCTAGTAGTCTCTTCATCATCACTAAAAAACGAAACCTGTAATTGTAAAAAAAGTAAATCAGATCCAAAAAAAACAATAAGGGCAAAATAGTCAACATAACAACAGATATTACCTTTGGCCCATCGTTTTTCGGGTGATACTTTCTAGCACCCCACGAATTTTTTACCAACCAGTACTTCATGCCAAAGCTGTGTATATGATGTATTCACCATCACCACAGACAACAACATACCTCCTATTTGGGTTGTGCTTCAAGCTCTATGGAAAAATAGAAAAGTCAAAGTCCATATGGTTGACTATTTTCAATTTAAAGGAAGGTAGGAACAAGCATAACTCACTTGTAGATAAAGATCACATGTTCCCAGTTCTTTAACTGCTAAAGGCAGCCTCTCTCCATCAGAAACCTGAATAAAAAATAGATTTTTTTCCCATTTCATTGTTAACATAACATAACATGTATATGGGCTTTAAAGTCCAAACCTCATGATCAGCTCCCACACTCTTGATGTTAATAGTTTGAATTTCATTATGTTTAGCCCATATAATTTTTCCACTATTGTCCATGCTGGCTACAGGCTCTTCACGTCCAATTTTCACCATTATGGTTCCTTCATCATAGCCAATAACAATCCTGTAAAAACAGTAATTAAAATAAATCCAGATGAATGAAGAAGCATCAAGATTCAAGACCCACAAAACAAAAAACAAAAAGTGCTATACAAACTTACCGACGTGAACCTTTCATGTATCCAACAGCCCAAACCCTTTCAAGTCCATAGTTCAAGGTGTTCTCAAGTCTGAATAAAAAAAAGAGTGGCATAAAGTCAAAAAGTTTACATTTTTAACATATGTATAACGAGGGTATTTTGGTCTTTTGATAGGAAATGAAGAAAGAAATTGAATTCCTTCCATCCATCAAACATGGAATTTGAAGGAATCCAACAAAAATTGAATTCCATCCATTTGGAAACCAAACACACCATGGAATGGAATCTAGCATTCCGATTCTTTTAGAATCTACAAAACAAACACACCCTTAAAGGTAAAAAAACAAGAGCTCACCTGTAAGTGGTTGAATGCCATATACGGACAGTACCATCTTCTGAACCTGTCATTATTATTGGAAGCTCGGGATGGAAACATACAGCATAAACATTGTGTGTGTGACCTTCTAGAGTTTGGACACAGGTTTTAGTTAGCAACTCTACAGTAACAGATCACAGTTGTGACCGTATTGCTGGATTCTCATATTGAGATAGTAAAGGGAATCAAATCAGTTTAGAAATTGTAAGTAAATGAGATTCAATTCCTATTACATAAATTAAATTCCAACTCCTAAACACTAAATTGATTTTTTTATCATTATCAAAACACAATTGGCTGATTACTACTCATGTGTATGTATAATAATAGTAAATTGAATCTAATAGGAATACATAAAATTTTATTTACCTGTGAGGTTGTCACTGTGGCAGGTTGCTTTGAACCTTGTTCATTAACCTTTGGACAATCCCCTTTTGGTTCAAACATTTAGTCAAACACCTAGTGTGCATAAAAAAATCAGGTACTTATATCATAAAATATTAACAATTCCATGAAAATATATGAGAGAGGGTAAAAAGGCACGAAAAATCATCCAAAAAGAAGGACCAGTAGGACATGAAAAAGGTAACTATGGTTGAAAAAGGAAGAATTACCTTTGAAATAGGCCTACTACGCAGATGAAATAGGCAACAGTGGTGGTATAGTGGTGGTTCTGGGCTGTTGCGGAGGCAGTGTGGTGGTGGCTCAGGGCTGGTGTTGTGGTGCGATGTTGTAACGGTGGAGTCTGAAAGAAAACACAAATTGTGATGGAAGCTATTGTTGTTGGTGATGTCCGATTCATCAAAAGAAAATCATTCTTCGATCAATCTTCTATTTTGTGAAAGAAGATATTACTATTTCAAATGTGTTATGTTTGATTAGGGTTTGCACATAGAAGGAAGTGAAAGTCGATTGGAGAGGAAGGGGTTTGCAGAGAGAAAGAAGGGAGAGAATGAAGTCGATTTTGGCGGGTGTAGAGAGTAGAGAGGAAGAGGAAGCGGGTGTTCAAAATTTTGGGGGATTTAGTTTCCCCCTTACCTATCAAGGAGTCCCAGAAACGCGCGTTTATTAAAATTATAAAGCGACATTTATAGAGGACGCCCGTTTTATTATAGGTGCCCTCCGTGTTTTTAATATTTTTACATGAGACACTAATTTAAGGGCACTCAGTAATGCGCGACCTAAATCCTTAAAATTTTTGAAGAGATGGCACTTTTTTAATGTCGCTCTCTAATGCGTAACATAAATCAAAGAGCGTCGTGTTTTGCGCGTCGTAAAAGGCCTTTTTTCTAGTAGTGACTTATGCAAGGGTTAAGGGACAAAATCAAATCCCGTATGGGAGTTTAGAAACTTTAACTATACCCATGGGTAAATGGGAAGACATCACCATGGATTTTGTGACTAAAATGCCCAGGAAAAAGAACGGTCACGACATGATTTGGGTAGTCGTGGATCGTTTCACTAAGAGTGCACACTTCATAGTAGCCAAAGACAAATGGTCTATGGATAAGCTCACAAATGCTTATGTGAAAGAAGTGGTAAGACTTCATGGTGTTCCTTTAACGATTGTATCATATCATGATAGTCGTTTCACGTCAAGGTTTTGGAGAAGTCTACAAGAGGAATTGGGTACAAAGTTGTGTGTGAGTACAACTTACCATCCGCAGACTGATGGTTAGAGCGAAAGAACGATTCAAACACTAGAAAGTATGCTAAGAGCATGTACCCTGGAATTCCAAGGTAATTGGGATGAGCACATACCTTTGGTAGAGTTTTCTTAAAATAACAGTTTCCACTCGATCATCAAAATGGCACCTTATCAAGCCTTGTATGGAAAGAAGTGTTGTACGCCATCTTGTTGGCTTGAGGTTGGAGAAAAGTAGTTTGTGGTCCCCGAGATAGTCCATCAGATTGCTGAAAAGCTGAAGGTGATAAGGGAAAGTATGTTAGCAGCTCAGGATCGTTAAAAGAGCTATGCTAACAAAAAGAGATGAACGATTACATTCGAAGTTGGAGATTCAAATTTGCTTAAATTCTAACCTTGGAAGGGACTTATACGATTTGGAAAGAGAGGAAAGTTAAGTCTAAGGTTTATTGGACCAGTCAAAGTTCTTTAGAGGATTGGGAACCAAGCTTACAAGCTTGAATTACCTGAAGAACTAGATGGTATTCATAACACTTTTCATGTGTGTTATTTGAGGAAGTTCACGGGTGAAGTTCCCGACATAATTCCAATTTCATAGTTAAGGATGGATGAAAATAAGAGGCTAATCGAAGAGCATGAGGCAATTGTTGACTGTAAAACAAAAAAGTTACTACGCAAGATGGTTGACTTAATGATTGTGCGATGAAAACATACAAATGTGCCGAACCTCACATAGGAAACAGAGAGAGACATGATGAGTCGCTATCCACATCTGTTTGCTGATGTGTGATTCCGGGGCGTAATCATCCTAAGGGGAGAGAATTGTAACGCCCGTGTTTCTAAGCTAAGCATTAATGTGATGATGTAATAGTTAAGGTCAACAATTATAACCTATTTGATGTAATAAAGAAGAATTATGTGAATATTATATGTTCCATGATTATTATAATATAATAAAATAGGAAAAATCAGCCTAATCCTCTGTAAATCGTAAAAATAAGTGCCCCAAAACATATATATATATATATATATATATATATATATATATATATATATATATATATATATATATATATATATAGAAAGTACACGTCTTATCGATCCCAAAAATATAAACTTTGTAGAAATCTGAGTCTGTATGAATTAAATATGATTTTTTTTAAATATAAAAGGCAGTCGCTCACAAGGATTGTGTGAGGTAAAAAGCTACAAAGAGAACTGTTGACTTTTAGCTAATGCGATCAAAATAAAAATCGTAGTACTCCTTAAAATAGGAATTTTGAGAAAAAGAATGCAAAAAACGGAGTCCATATGACAGATTTATGATTTTAGAAAAATTAATTTTATAAAATTAGGGACAAAAATATAAATTCCAAACTAGCCGACGAAGTCTAAACGAAAGTTGTAGATCTTGTCGATAACTTTGCGTGGATATAATGAACGTCAAAAACGGAGTTCGTATGAACGAGTTATAATTTTTAATAGCATATTTACGTATTAAAATAAAGTATAAACCATACACACACACACACACACACACACACACATATATATATATATATATATATATATATATATCATTAGAACGGTATTCACGATGCGGTCGTTATAAGACTAATGTTGAGTGCTTTCGACATTAGTTTAGTACAAATATCGTTAAATTTATTTAAAATACTATTACAAATGAGTGTTTCAGCATTTAAGTAAATATATAGGGTAGTTTTTGAAAATTCAATTACTATAAATAGGAGCCTCTAGCCATTCATATTTCTTGCACCATTCTCATGATTCAAGAGTCTTTCGCTTCTTATCCCCCAAACATTTTGGTCCCTTGTGATTCGACTTCTCTTTCTGTAGTTTTTAGTATAGTAACATGAGCGCTCAAACACTGCGAGAATATTTCTTGGAAAGATTCAACGACGAAGTTCTGCCCCTGCAGAGCCCGACTCCTAGCTAAAACTCTCTTTTAACTAAGTTATGCTTACCCTTTTTTAAATATAGCTTATATTTAAAATTAGTATTGTTATTATGAACTTATATTAAATATTTGGGGTATTATTATGACTTCTATAAGTGTCGTTATAGTATCTTTTTAACTACTCACAGTACGAGGAATCTAAGGTCGTTGGATTTCAGAAGTGCTATATTTCAAAATGGTCCTGACCTTCAGTGTTTTATGTATGGCCCCTATCTGTACATAGTGGTTGGAAAATATTGTTTAAATTCTTATATAATAATAATAATGCTAAGACTAATAATTAGTCACGGTAAATATTAGACTAAAATCTAGTGGTAGTAATACTAGGTTTTGTCGAATGAAATTATATTGTTAAAAGCGAAGCGCTGTCCGAGTTTGGAATCATCACTTTAACAAGTGAGTACATAGTTACTTTCATCTTACACATAGATATAAAGTATTTTATATAAATTATGTGCTATGTGTGTATATTATTTGTTTACTTGATATCCATGTTAGATGAATATTTTTATACAAGTTTAAAATGATTTAAACTGTATATGTATTTTATGTCTACAAAAATGTTTGGGTAAAACATGGGTAGATGAAATAGACGATGTGTGATAAAATGATGAGAGACGTCGATGTTTACAATTATCCAGTCATCTAGCGGAGTATAGATGACGACCACAGTCCAGTGGAACGCTAGTAGGCTCGCAACTTGTAGGTGTTTATGAACGATATGTTCACTGGTGTACTCCATCCCCCTCATGATTGCCTTTAGGACATTTATTGCTGATGAATCCTCTATGCAGTAGTGTCCATCCCGATGATGATCCCTAGGCTAGTTCCCTTATGATAGGTGTTTAGGGACGTAAAGTGAGGATAACGAGAATGGGTAATCGACTTATTGTTGGTTAATGAAATTAATAAACTTATTTATTGTGGGTTGATAACCCTATGTGCTCACCAGGCTCCCAAGCCTGTCCCACTCAGTTTCTTGTATTACAGGTAGTGACACTAGAGCATAGATGTGAAGTTTGGTTGAGGGATTATGGATTATAGGCCGGTACAGTGGCGGATGCTTTAAGGAGCCAGGGGAGGCCATGGCCCCCCGTTTTTTATTACATGAAGATTAAATCTCAATACAGTATGGCTATTTTAAGTTCCAAAATTATCATACAAAGCAAATATGAACCTATAAACTTTCAAGGTTTATACATAAAATTCTAGAACATTGATCCCAAATGTAAATTATATCCTTTTAAACTAAATTTGTTTAAAAAAACTTTCAAAAATATTTGAAAAAATCAAAATGATAGTTTGTTAATTGAAAACTTCAAAAACCCTTCAAAAATTTGAAAATCCCCAAACGCAATATAAGAAAAAGTTTAAAATATTTCAAAAGAATCAAAACTGTTTTGCAAGGGATACACTGGTGCGCCACTTAGCTCTTGGCCTCCAACAGAGTGTTTTGAGTTGCTTTAATACCTCTACGCATACGTCGTCCGCCATTCGGTCTACATATGCCAATTGTCGGTCGCCACTAGTGGGTCATGATTCCATCTGCCTCTCTGTCTCTCACTGTTCCCCGACCATCTCCTCTTGTTGTACGAATTATTGTATGTCTCTCCGTTGCCCTTTTTTAGAAATTTATCTATGTGTTT